CAGTTTATATCTTCATCGTCTATGCACCAACATCTAATGAAGAAGAAATGAAGGAAGAAGTTCTAAATGGAGCTGGAGAAGTTCTATAAAGAACACCACACCTATAAGATCATTGTCGTGATTTTAATGCCAAGATAGGACCCAGAAGGTCGCCCGAGAACTCCACATCAGGACCAATGGCCTAGAATTGAACAAACAAGGTGAAAGACTCTCTGAGTTCATCATGTTGACCAAGACCATCCATGGTAACTCACAGTTCCAGAAGCCTAATCTAAATGTTGGACATGGGAGTCTCCCAGTGGATGGTTCCACAACAAAACTGACCACATCATATTTAATCAACAGTCTTGCCTGAACAATGTCTCTGTTGTCCCAAAATTGCGAATGGGATCGGACTACCATCTCCTTCATGCAAAATTCTACTTCACAAAGAGGGCAGAAAGGGCTGCAAAGTTTAAGAAGAGAACTCCCAAAATGACCACCAACTAGGAGCTCTTTGGCACTATTGCAGCATTATGGGAAGATGCCATCATTGACATAAACGACAAAGAATACGATCGACTGATTCAGCACCTCCATGATTGTAGGAGGAATGCAGAGAGAGAGAGAGAGAGAGAGACAGACAGACAGACAGAGACAGAGAGACAGAGAGACAGAGAGAAAGCCACGATTAGAGGCCTGTCTTTGGAAACTATTGAGCTCATTTGCCAACGTTGTTGTCGCGAGCCTGAGGCAATCACAAGCTAATGTCTGAGCTTGCAAAGCTATGCAGAGAAGTGATAAAGGAAGAACTCAAAGAGAGAAGAGCAACAGTGTTGGTTGATGCAGCAGGCATCGGGGAAAAGTATTCTCAATGCCTGCCTGACCTTTGCCAACTATAAGACCAAGATGACTGCCTTCCAACGTCCTGATAGATCTATCACATCTTCCAGAAAGGCAATAGAAAAGGTTATCCATGACTTCTACTCAGATCTCTTTGATAGCCTTGTCCACCTGCTCACATACCAAATTCCTCAGGATGGATATGTTGTTCCCAGGATCTCACCATTATACAACGAAGTGATCATCAATGTAAAGAGAGGGGTTCCACAAGATGATACTACTTCACTGAAACTCTTCAGTGCCATGCTCAAAAACATCATGCAATGAATGGAATGGGAAGGAATGGGAGTGTAGATAGATGGTCGGCAACTACAACACCTCCTCTTCGCTGATGACATCGTTCTAATAACACTGAACATTAGCCAAGCAGCACAAATGCTGGCTGACTTCAACCATGAGTGTGGAAAGGTCGGACTGCAGCCTAATCTCATCACGACAATGTTCAAGAGAAACAGACTAGTTCATGATGTTCTATTTTCCCTCAATGGAAAGAAAATCTCTGAATGCAGAAATTATGTGTACCTGGGTCGAGAACTCAACATGACAAACAACCAGGGACCCGGATTGTGCAAGAGGAAGAAAGTGGCATGGAACGCCTTCAAGAGAGTCGAAGAAGTGCTTAAGAGTACGAAGAAACTCAGGCTTTATGCACATCTTTTCAACTTCACCAGTCTTCCTGCACTAACATACGCCTCAGAGACCTGGGCCCTATGAAAACAGGATGAGAACACTATTCTGGTCTCCGAAAGAGGAATTGAATGAGCTATGCTTGGAATATCACGTTTCACTCAAATGAGAGAAGGAATATGGTGTTCCGACCTCCATCGACGATCAAGAATCAGGGACACTGTCTCGTTTGCCATGGCATTGAAAATCAGATGTGCCAGACACATAATGTGATTTAGAGATGACTGCTGGACTAGAGCTGGTTTGGATCCCACAGGACGTCAAAAGACTGCTCACCTATGAGATGGTCAGACTTTTTTCTCAAAACCCTGAATGAACACTGTGAGGCTCTTCGTGTTCTTGGAATGAGCAGATGCCATTGGTCTACACTAGCATGAGCAGTGATGAATGGAGACATTACTGGAGCCCGCTCGAGCAAATTGATAAACAACGGGATGACAAGTGATACAAGAGATACAAATAATTGTTCTACTTTCATAGGTGTGAAAATTTTATTATGAGAACCTAATGTTTTTATTGTTTCACAAAAGAAAGAATAAGTGAAACTTGAGATTAATTATAGGTTTTTACCCCACAGATATTGAAATCAGCCTTGTTTGTTGAAATAACCAGTGAATATAGGGTGGAGAGTAAAATCTTCAACGAGTGTGACAGCAAGAGATCTAAAGATGTGGACACTATTGGCACAACCTAAAATTGTATCTTCAAGTTCATTATAGATAATGCACAAGTGGAAATTTTTAAAATAGTCTTCAAAGCTATTCTTTACGGGAATGGAATACAGTTTTTAAAGCATTTGTCTTTCACAAGGCCGATCTAGATTTAGTCCTTGGCTCCACATATGATTTATCATGCCTAGTCTTACCCTGAGGGTAGTGATAGGAGTAGACCCTGAGCACCATTAAGTATAAAACGAAAACCTAACAAATCTCTAAAATAAAGAAAATACAACACAGCAAAAATAAAATGGACTTATAATTCATGAACTTGGATAAATTTTTGATGATTCAACATCCTTTATTACTCCTTTATTCATTGTCCCTCCCCTCTATCACTGGACAATTTCTACCAATTCTGTCTTCTATTAACTCTCAGGTCAATTTTTATTTTATTTTATTTTATTTTGTTTTTATTATTTTTTTTTTTTTGGCTTTTTGGTAACACCTGGCGATGCACAGGGATTACTCCTGGCTCTGTACTCAGGAATTATCCCTGGCGGTGCTCAGATGATCATTAGAATGCTGGGAATTGAACCCAGCCGCGTGCAAGGCAAACACCCTAACCACTGTGCTAATGCTCCAGTCCGAACTCTGAGGTTAATTTTTAATATTACATTAATTTATATTTTTGTTACCTTCTGAATTATATTCATACTTATATATTTTCTTGCTTGTTTATAGAACAAGTGCCATAGCATCTTTGAATAAATTGAGAGTCAAAATTAATAAGTCATGAAATTTGCTATAAATGGATGGGCAATGAGAGCATCATGCTGAGTGAAATGAGTCAGAGGGAAAGGGACATTCATAGAAAGATTGTACTCACTTGTGGGATATAAAAATACAGTATGATACTATTACTCAACGAAAGTAGAAACAAGGACTAGGAGAAGTGGTTCACAGTTGGAAGTTTAGTAGCTGATTACTAATGGGGGATACGGGAGGGTATTTGGGATAGAAAAGGGATCTTTACGATAATGATAGTTGGAAATGATCACGCTGACAAGAATTGGGTGCTAAAAATAGGTTAAGAGACAAACATGATAACCATTCACTAATTGTATTGCAAGCCATAAGCCATAATGCCCAAAAGGAGAGACAGAGACAGAGAGACAGAGACAGAGACAGAGACGAGAGCCTGACATAGAGGTAGACTCTGGTGGGGTGGTGGAGGGATGGAGGGAATCTGGGGACCTTGGTGGTGGGGAATGTACAATGCTGAAGGTTTTGGAAAATTTTATGACTAAAACCCATTCACGAACAACTTTATAAGTGTATCTCGCAGTGACTAAATTAAAAAGAATACTCATTCTGATTTGGAGGGAAGTTGGGTTACATCCAATTGTATTCATGACTTGCTCCTGGCTTTGTGCTCAACAGTCACTCCTGATGATATTTGGAGGAAGAAATGAAGTGTCAGAGATAGAATCCAGACAGCTGAGTTCAAGGCAAGCATACTAGGGCCTTTAACATGATATTTGAAGAGTATGTTTAGTGTTTGCTTTTCTTCAAAGTTCATTAAGAGGTTTAAAAAGAAAACTAAAAAAAATAAATAAAACAATCAGCAAATAAATGAATGAAACTAAAGTTTTAAGGCTTCTATGTGCTCCAAGTTAATTTGTGACCTATATTAATATATATTGCTTAAAATAAGATCAACATTGTATAGTCTAGAAACTGGGTGTTGATAAGTCTATGATCACCCACTCATTTCTGGGACTACTAGAATAATACGGTGAGACTGAAGTAACATCAGGTCAAAAGGATCCTTTGTGTCCTTAATTTTTTGTAACACTCTTCTCAGTTGATAAGAAATGCAAGGAGTCCATTTTATTTTCATTAAAGGCCCTGTTCAACACCTTTATCTTTAACCTCCCTGCATTTTTTTGGCAACACAAAGGCCAGTGTTTCTATAAACACCACCCCACAAAAGAGACATAGTTAATTTAGCCCTATAATAAGTTCCTCTCCACATGGGGAGTTACTTTTCCTTTATTTCTACTTTCCAGGAAACTTTTCTACTTTCTTATTCTGAGTGAGCATTTTTACTTCTCAGTATTTTCATTATTGAAAATATTGAGGAACCTGGGAACCACCGTGGACAGCAGCTCCCCCCCCCCCCTCCAACAACAACTACCCACCACCACTTAGCATCACTGTTAACTACTTATACTACTTAAGGTTTTAAATTGTTCATGTTTATATAAAATGGCCCATAACAATTTTCTTTATTTTTATTGTATTAGAATTGAAGACATTGTATATTAAATGTTATTAGATGCCATTTCCTAACAAATACCATTTCATGCAGTTTTGTCTTTCCAACCTGTTTCTGAAAAGTGCCTTACTTGAGGCCAGAATGTCAGAATAACTGCTTTCCCACACTCTGCTAGGTCAGGTTACTGATCACCTAAAGTAATGTCACAATTGAATAGCTTTTCCTTTCCGCAAGGCCAAATAGGACATGAACTGGTGGTCAGAGAACAGGGGTAGAGTTGAAGAAGGTTATGGAAACAAGAGGGAATCTGGGGAGGGGGGGGTCGGGTCAAGGGATGTGTGTTTGTGATTGCATCACTTAGCCAAACCTATTACCATAAACAGGAAGTTCTAAGGCAGTAATCACAGCCCCATATGGCCTTTCATTGGTTCTTAGATCTTCCTCTATTTCCTGTTTCCTGTAAGAACTTTACTTTCCTTTTCCCTTCGTTCTCTGGATCTTTGTTTTTGTTAGGTCCTGTTAAACAGAGTGAATCCTAATTAATTCTGCCTCTGGTGGCTTTCACTTTTCTCCAAAGAACCACAGCTTCTCCACTGGGATCAAAGGTATGTTCAGTAGTTTGTAGAGTGCAGAATTTGGGAGACATTTGACAAAAAACAAAACAAAACAAAAAGACAAAAAAAAACCCCAGATTTTTCTTGGGTATATCTGCTGGAAGACTGAGGAAACTTCTGACAGTAAGGAAACAAGTCCTGCCTGAAGGCTTTCTACAGTTTGTACTGACTGGGGCTAGCCTAGGAGCAGCAGGGGGTGGGGGTAGGGGTTGGAGGATGATGGCTGGATAGAAGTGGGGTGCTGAGCGAGGAGAAGTAATCTTTGAAAAAGTTAAGCTGGGGCTGGAGTGCAGCAGGTCGGGTTGCTTGCCTTGCAGGTGGCAGACCTGGGTTCAAATTTGAGCACCTCATATGGCTCCCTGAGACCTGAAGATGTCCTTGGGCCCCAAGGGTGGCTCATGTGAAGTGGGGAGGAGAAAGATAGTCACTTTCTCCCCAACCGCCTCTGCTCCCCGGGACCCTGGGTTACTGAGTTATTAGCTTGCCTAAAGAAAGGAATTTTAGGAGTAGACAGACGAGCAGTGAAGTTCCACAGTTTTCATTTGGAGGTTTTGAAGGGAAGGAGGAAGAGAAAGTGGGAGAGAATAGAGGGTAATGTGCTCAAGAGAGTTCCTGGGCTTCTTGAAGGGTGAGAGAGCCCCTAGAGGCATCCCAGCATTAGACAGGAAAGAATGAAAGTACACATGTCAAGAGGGGACATGCTGGCAACACTTGTGCTCAGTCACCACATATGCCTGGCCAGGTGGGCTCAAGCAGCACATGGGCTCCGGCAGTTTATGGGCTTGCTTCCTTTGTTGAAAGTGGCCTTATAGGGTTTTTCCCTATAAGGAGAGAGCCCGTACACACATCACAGCATTGAATAGGAAAGCACAAAATTATATATCTCAAGAGGGGAGGTGAGGGTGACACATATGCTGGGTTAAAAATCAGATATTACTGGAAAAATCACTTCCAGGTTTAGAACACCATGTTATCCTGGACTGCAGAAATAGTGCAGTGGGTTGGGGACTTGCTTTGCACAATACCAACCCTGATTCAATCTCTGCCTCCCCTGAGCATAGCCAGGTTTGGGCCTCCCCAAAACAAAACTAGAATACCATGTTTTAGCATGTAATAGTTACCACATGCTGCTTCTAAACAGTGTTAGCACAGTTTTTTCTAAAAAAAGATTTATATAATGATTATGATGCAGGTGAGGCTGAAGAGGTGGTGGCAGATCTCTATTCATTTGCGATTCCTAAGTTCTTCAGTATTTTCAAGGATGAAAAAGTAGACATTTATTGGAAAATAGAAGTGAAAAGGAGCTCTCAAAGAGGGGAGAAACTTATAATACTAAGTTAAAATTAAGGGGTTTGTATAGGCCTTTAAAGGTCCTCTGCATTTCTTATCAGTTGACAAGAACTAGAGAAAATGCAGAGAATCTTGGCTGGGCAGAGTCTTTCTAGCCATTTGCCTTGTCTTAACTGCCCTATGAGCTTAAGCTCTGGGACAGAATGCTATGATGAGCAATAGTTACTTTCCTGTTTATCTTTGATTACAGCCTCAACATTTTTTGCAAATGGTTTGGCATGTGATCTGACATGAGTATGCAGTGAAATTCAGTCTGTCATAATCTGAGGCAGATGTTGTGAAATATCTCTCGCAATATATTTGCCTTCAATCTTGCTGCTCCTCAGAGCCTAATCTAGATGTATGGGTATGGATTATGGGGAGATACTGTATATGATCTTCGGGCCACTTTCAGTGTTTATAGTATTAGCTGGATCTTACTCGCAGTTCACCCATAACCTCATTCCTTTTTCCCACCCTGAAGTATCAAAAATAAAAATGACCATGTGAGTCCATGCCACGCCCCTCCTCTGCTTTTCCCAAGCTTATTCAAGCCTTTTTTTGTCAGTTGCTCAGTTATCAAGGTATCTTTCTTATGTATAGAGAATTAATTTATATGTATTTTATTCAACTTACATTTTCTTTGTCAATTTTCCAGATTGATTTCATTATTTGCTAACCACAAAAAACCTGTAGGGAAAACAGGAATCTTTCTCTTCACTCACACTTTCATTGCCTGCCTGCAATCTGTCTCCTTCCCTTGAACGACTGCATTTATATTCCAAATGTTTATTATCTTTACTAGGATCTATCTAATCTTTTATAGCCCAAGTACAGAGCTAATTATATCACTCTTCCATGAAAACACTGATAATTTCTTCTTTCTCTGATACAATCTTCTATGTTGTATATTTGGGAAGTGTCATGTTTTTATGTCATTATAGACTCATTGGTATCAAAGGCCTAGGCAGTTTCTGCTTAAAAGCCAAATGAGCATTATGAAACTTTTTATACAGGATGTTATGTTTTCTGATTGGAGGTTGTTTTGTTTTTCCAACACATATTTCCCCTCTCTGATTTTCAGTTTCTTAATCTTCTGCTTTCTTCTTCTTTTTTATTTTTTTTGTCCACACTTAGAAGTGCTTACAGCTTTCCCCTGGCTCTACAATCAGGGGTCAACTCCTGGGAGGGCTGGGGGAGCAAGGGGATCACAGAACCTGAGTTGTCTATTGTCTGTGTGCAAGACAAGTGCTGTATCTACTTTACTATTTCTCTGGCCCTCTGCTTTTGTTTTTATGAAATTGCCTTACAATGAATCAAAACCCAATATGCTCTACTTGAAGTCCTTAAAAGAATTCTAAACTATTTTATATATATATGTATATATATATATATATATATTATAATTGAAACCCAAGCACAAAAATTTGTAAGCCTATAACTGTACCTCATGGTGTTTCACTAATAAAAATTTAAAAAAAAAGAATTCTAAACTATTAATCATAGAACGAGGCAAGGAAGTGTGTGTGTGTGTGTGTGTGTGTGTGTGTGTGTGTGTGTGTGTGTCTGTCTATCTGTTGGGGGGGGTGCTTGAGGGGGTGGGCAGGTTTAGGGAGGACAGGAAGAAGTGGGGTTAAGTTTATTTATGCAGAATAGTCACTGATACATTTTAAAAAACTGTCTCTTATTCTCTAAAAAAAAGGAAAATATGCAAAATAACGTAATGCCTTCATGGCAGTGCTGTCTGTGATAGATTTTTCTCTTTGAAATCAGGCTTCCATAGCATTAAATGGTTCCTGGTAGAAGTTTGGCACCATTCTTCCAACTCTCCCAAATCCAAGTGTCATTATGCTGGTTAATGTCATTGATCTAAATCAAGGCTAATAAGATAATACTTACAGTAGACATGCTTTAGCTCCAGTTCTTAATGGCTTATTTAGATGCCACCTTTTTCCCTTTCAGTTCCACATTTGTTAGGTGTCTTCAAAATACCAAGCTTCATGTTTTCTCTAGAATTGTTGAATTTTTATTTTTTTCCATTGTTTAATTTTCTTCTTTATTTTGGTTTTTGGCCACACCCTAACGTGCTCAGAGTTTACTCCTGGCTCTCTACTCTTGGCTCACTCCTGGTGGAGCTCAGGGGACAATATAGGGTGCTGAATATTGAACCTAGGTTAGGCTGAAAATGAGTCAAGCACCTTACCTGCTACTCTATCCTTCTGTTCCCATATATTATCTTTCTCATAACTTGTCTGTTGTTTTCTATGCATAGCACTGTAGCACTGTCCTCCCATTATTCATTGATTTGCTCGAGTGGGCACCAGTAACGTCTCCATTGTGAGATTTGTTGTTTCATTTTCTACTTCATTTTACATGCATACAAGGTTTTTAAGTGACTTAAATGTTACTTAGACTCATGATTTTGAACATTAGTCAACTTGTAATCATGAGATAGTTTTTAAAACTTGACATTTATTTGTGAAACTGTCTGTTCATAATGAGTAAATGTGTGAATATTCGTTCAGTTGGAGGAACTGAGACAAAGAACATGAGAGAAATTATTTTTCATGGAGGTCCCAAATTTGTACAGATTCTGTGAAAAAGGTAGAGCATCCTGATATCTCCTTTTATTACCATACTACTGTACATAGCTCTAAAGGACTGAATACAGTGACGTCATCAATAAAATCAGTTACAGAAAGAACACGACTTGACTTGACATTTCCTTACTCATCGATTTGCTCTAGCTGATGCCAGTAATGTCTCCATTTGTCCCTGTCACATGCTAGTGTAGCCCAATGGCATCTGTTCAGTTCTAGGAACACGAAGAGTCTCAAACCAATCATTCAGGGTCTTGACAAAGAAGTCTGACCATCTCCTAGGTGGGAAGTCACGGGGTCTTTTAACATCCCGTGGAATATAGTTGGTAATGGCTCTATTCCAGCGATCATTTCCAAATTTCATTACATGTCTAGCCCATCTGATTTTTGATGCCTTGGCAAATGAGACAGTGTCCCTGATTCTTGACCATCGATGGAGGCCGGAACTCCAGATTCTTTCTCTCATTTGAGTGAAGCGTGATACTCCAAGCATAGCTCTTTTGATTGCTCTTTGAGAGTCCCGAATAGCATTCTCATCCTGTTACCGTAGGGCCCAGATCTCTGAGGTGTATGGTAATGCAGAAAGAACAGTGGAATTGAAGAGATGTGCCTGTAGCCGAAGGTTCTTCATCCTCTTAGCTATTTCTTTGATGCTCTTGCAGGCATTCCAAGCCTCTCTCTTCCTCCTGCACAACTCAGGTGCCAGGTCATATGTCATGTTGAGTTCTCGACCTAGGTACACATAAATGTTGCATTAGGAGATGGTCATGCCATTGAGAGTGAATGAAAAGTCAGGAACGAATCTGATTCTCATAAACATTGTCTTTGTGAGATTCAGCTGTAGTCAGACTTTCCACACTCATGGTCAAAGTCGGCCAGCATTTGTGCCACTTGACTAATGTTTGGTGTTATTAGAATGATGTCATCAGCAAAGATAGATGTGAATAGATGTGGCTCACTGCCAGCAGTTTCTATCTTCGTTGTCTACATACCAACATCCAAATATGATGAAGGAGAAATTGAGAAGTTCTACATGGAGCTGGAGAAGTTCTATGAAGAAGACCACGCCTTCTACAAGATCATTGTTGGTCCTTTTAATGCCAAGATAGGAATGAGAAGATCAGCCGAAACACCACACGGGAACCATGGCCTAGAATGGAACGAACAGGGTGAGAGACTGTCTGAGTGCATCATATTGACCAAGACCATCCATGGTAACTCACAGTTCCAGAAGGCTGAATCTAAACGTTGGACATGGGAGTCTCCTGCTGGATGGTTCCACAACGAAATTGACCACATCATATTCAATCGACGGTTTCGTCTGACCAATGTCACTGTTGTCCCAGAATTCCAAATAGGATTGGACCACTGTCTCCTTCATGCAAAATTGTACTTCACAGAGCGGGGAGAAAGGGCTGTAAAGTTTAAGAAGAGAAGTCCCAGGATGACCACTAACTGGGAGCTCTTTGGCACTATTGCTGCAATATGGGAAGATGCCGTCATTGACAACATTGACGATTCAGCACCATCATGATTGTGTGAGGAATGCCAAGAGAGAGATAGCCACAAAAAATGCCTGTCTATGAAAACTCTTGAGCTTATTCGCCAACGTGGCTTGGTGCATGCCTCAGTCAAATGCAAGCGAAAGTCTGAGCTCACAAAGCAGTGCAGAGAAGCCATAAAGGAAGACCTTAAAGAGAGAAGAGCAGCAGTGCTGGCAGATGTGGCAGTAACTGGGAAAAGCATTCGCAACGCCCACCTGTCCTTCTCCAACTACAAGACCAAGATGACTGCCCTCTGACGTCCTGATGGATCTATCTTATCTTCCAGAAGTGCAGTGGAGAAGATTATTCATGACTTCTACTCAGATCTCTTTGATAGCCATGTCCACCTGCCCACATACCAAATTCCACAGGATGGATGTCGTTCCCAGCATTCTCCCTTCCAAAATTCGACACGCCATTTTGTCGATAAAGAAACAAACAGCCCATGACCCAGACAAGGTCAGACCTGAACACCTTAAGAACCTGCCATCAGTACAGGAAGAACATGCAAAACTGAAAGCTTTTCTGCATTCTAAAAACAAACAGGCTAAGTACCTGGGATTTGCATACTGAAATATAACAGGCTAAGTAAGCACCTAGGATCTGTGAGAAGAGGAAGACTTGACTCTTTCATTATTCTTAAATTTATGTTATTTAGTGTAGGCAGCTTAAAGAAGAGATGTTCATCCTCAGCCAAACCAGTCTGGACACATGAGGAATCTTGCCCATTTTCATGGATCTTTGTTCCTCCTGTTTTCAAGACTGTTTACAAGGGCTCATCCTGACAGCCGAGTCCAGCCCCAACAAGCAATTTTTTTCATTTTATCTCTCTCTCACCCAAAACATGCACACCTACACACACAAGTACATGTTGTGTAGTCCTTAGTACATTTCCAAGTCAAGGTGAAATTTAGCATCCCAAATATTTTGATTCCCTAGAAACCATCCTCTAATCTGGTTCTTTTCACTTCCAAATCCCTAATGATCTGGGTATTGTCACAAGTCAACATTTAACTGAAAGAAAACAGATGTAATGTTTGGAATTTTTTATTTGGTGTGGGGGGGTGAGGTGTTGCACAGTGGAGATTGGGTCATACCTAGCAATACTCAAGGTTCACCCCTGGCTTTGTTCTCGGGGATAACTCCCATTGATACTCAAGGGATCATCTGTGTGTAGTGCCAGGAATTGAACAGGTCAGTCAAATATAAGACAAGACACTTAATTCTGGTACTCAGGGTCTTTTTTAAACCAAATTATTGATAAATCTGGAGCATGGGCCCAAATAGGAGTAGAAACATTCTGAAAAATTGTCTAAAATGATAGCAAAAGAAAATATTGTTGTGGATAAAAGACTTCCCTGGGGAGAAGTTAAAGAATCTTATTATGTAGATTATCTACACTAACAAAGAAAGTACAGATTGAATCCTTTGGAATAGGCCAGAAATTAGATCACACGTTATAGTTCAGCAGACCTCAGTAAAAATGACTCAAACTTCAGTCTGATTGCTTTTCCACAATATTAATTGGATCAATAAACAGTATGAATTGAGGTAGTTGGGTTTTTGATTTATGTGTTTTCTTTGATTCTTTCTGTGATGTAGGAGTCACCCCTGTATTATTAGGAGATACCCAAATAGATTACTTCACTCCAATTTCCAATTCTGTGTATTGAAAATCTATTCATGAACACTGTATATCACTATTTGTTTCATCTTGGTTTAGGGGACACACTCAGTAGTGCTCAGGGATTATTCCTGGCTCATGAATCACATCTGGAGGTGCTGATAGACAATATGGACTGACAGGGATTTAACTAAGCTTGGCAAGTGCCTGTAGTATTTTTCTTATGCTGCATGTAATTCTTTTCATCTGTAACTACACTTCTGATGAAAGGATTTGCTCCTACTATTATATTCTCATTGTATCACAGTGATTAGAAAGATCATTACAACTGCATAGTAGAGATAGGAATGGTTAGAGTATAGATCAGTTAAGAGTAGTTTTTTTTAAAAAAGAGAACATCTAAGAAGAGAGTGCTGAAATATAAATATGAGTCCTTGTACATCAGCAAAAAATAATCCATAGTTGGAGACGAATAGACATATAAACCCATATTCAAGTGGTTGTTTTCTTTTAACATTCAGGATTTATTTGAGCATGGGAAGAGAAAAATGGAATAGATGAAGTTCTCGTGTGATTTTGGTAGAAAAAACCTTGGTTTGTTCTTTTGTTCAGCAAGAACAAAGAAAATAAAGTATTTAAACAGGTAAGAATGCAACTTATATTGTGATGTGAACAGAGATTAAGTGAAATTTCTATGAAAAGTGATTTTTGTCAGGTCTTCAAGCTCTTGTGCTTATTTCTCTTTTTCTTTTTTTCTGTTTATTGTTTTTTCTGCCTGTTTTTGATATATACATAATATTAGATACCAAAACATTTTATGCTTACCTTTATGACTCTGCCCCATTCAACTTTTAATTTTGCAGAGACCTGTGCAGATAAGAGCCTCCAAAGTCAGGGTAACTATGAGCAGAGGAGCAGCAGCTATGGCTATCGAAACCCTGAGAAACTTACAGGAAGACATAACCTGCCCCATTTGCCTGGAACTCCTGAGAGAACCATTGAGCCTGGACTGTGGCCACAGCTTCTGCCAAGCTTGCATCACTGCGAGCAGCCAGGAGTCGAGTAAAGCAGGGGAAAACAGCTGTCCTGTATGCAGAATCATTTATGATCCTGGGAACATGAGGCCTAATTGGCATCTGACCAATTTAGTAGAGAGGCTCAGAGGGGTCAATTTAAGCCAAGAGGAGGAAGAGAAGAAGGATCTTTGTGAGCACCATGGAGAGAAGTTGCTGCTCTTCTGTAAGGAGGACTGGATGCCTATTTGCTGGCTGTGTGAACGGTCCAAGGAACACCGTGGTCACCACACCCTCCTCATTGAGGAGGCAGCCAATGAATACAAGGTAAGAGACCAGATGGAAGGGCAAAACAAAACATGGGACTGATTACCTTGGCAGGAGAGCCCAGAGACCTGTAGTTTCTTTCTTCCTGTGCTCAGTCTCCGACTTCTAGAGAACATGTTTGTGCATTCCAATTCCAAAAAGAATGGCCTACAATATAGACTTAGCCAGAAGTTTGAAACTTGTCCTAGGTAGGAGGCATTGGGTGCTTCAGATAAGCTTTTAATACCTTTTTGAATAGGTGAAGTTGGAGACTGGTGAATTAGGATGTAAATTCTTCTCTTATTGCAGGAGTAGATTTATCTTGTAAGAAAGAGAAATCATTTTTTGGGGTTCAGATATGTCCCCTAATTTCTACTTAAATCTTCAAATATTTCACTATGTTTGGTTTTCAGTCCAGTAATAGGTTCTAATTACTCTTATTTAAAGATTTAAAAACTCTAAATTTTTTAGATTGGCATTATTTCTTCCTCATTTATCTTATATTCATATGCTGAAAAATCTCAAGGTTTCAGTCAATTTTGATTTTTTTCTTCAGGAAAAACTCCTGGCGTCTCTGGAGCAACTGAGAAAGAAGCAGGAGGAAGCTGAACAATATGAAACTGCTCTCAGAGAACACAGAACTTCTTGTCAGGTAGAGAAACTTCCTGAGGAAATCAGACAGAATTTCCTGGCAGAGGAGAAACTTTCTGAAGAAATCAGACAAATTGAAAACTTGAATTTTTGGAAGAGGGAGTTTCTTTCTTATTTTTCTTCTTTATTAATAGACCCAAACAGCATTTGACATTCTGTTCTTAGTCCTTTATTTGATAGAGGTAAGGGTTGGAAGGTTATCCTGTTTATTAGAAGTCACTATAGAGGGAGTCAGTGGTGAACATAGCTAGGGAAATCCCTGTCACATTCTCATAATTTTTTTTTAGATTTATTTCTGCGCCAGAGCCAGCAACACTTGAGTGTTATGACTGACTCTAACCAGGAATTACTCCTGGCAGTGCTCTGGGGACCATTAGATGCTGGGGATCAAACCCAGTTTAACTATATTTTTCAAATCAACGTTTCTGAAGAAAATGTTCCACTTAGGACTCCTGGTTTAGTCTTTTACGTGAAATTTTGCAGAAAATGAGAGCTAATTTCAGGAAATAAATTATCCAGCCTAGCAGATGAAAACTGAGTCACATTCTGACACTTCTTTTTGGTTCAGGATTGGCCTCAATATTTCAGATTTGAAGCTATTGTTTTTGACTCTCATGTGGGGAAGTAACCTGAAAATTCACATGCCTTCAAGAATGGTTCCCGTTAATTTCGTTAGAGAACTTTCCAACTTTTCAATAAGTATAGTTATTTTTTTCTGACTCCCAGTCTCTGACTTATATCCTGAGTATCTTTATCCCTTTCTCATTCTTTAAGAATCAAATAGAAGAGGAGATTTACAGTGTGCAGAAAAAATTTCAACAAATAAGAGATATTATAGATTTGGAGGAACAAAAGGAGCTGCAAAAGTTGAGGAAAGAAGAGAAAAAAATTCTCCATGGCCTGGCTTTGTCTGAGGAGGAGCTGGTTAAACAGAGCGAGTTCACGAGAGGTCTTATCTCCGATCTGGAACACAAACTTCAGGCATCCGCGAAGGAGATGCTGCACGTAAGACTTGGGAAGCAGCCCCAGACCCTGAGATTTGAGAGGAATGAGAAACTTTTTTTCCGTTCCGTTCTTTATCGCTGAACTCTGACCCTCAGCTTCTTTGTCCCTGTAGTACAACTTCTCTGCATTTATTTCAAGGGCTATTGAGACATTTAAAAGTCCGAGTAATAAGAGAAAAATCTCATTTGTATTAAGTTATCAAGTGCAGGAAAAAAATAGACTACAGATCCAGTGTGTTTGAGGTAGTCTGTATACTCCTGTCACCGGGGAACCAGAAGTGTAAAGCAATTACCAGATAAATCATTTTCCAGCGTTTGCCATCAGCAAAAACACTTCGCATTCTCAGTCTTTTTCTTCTCTAATAGATAGAATTCTTCCCTCTTTTCCTGTTTCCTAAAAATAATTTATAAATAGCAGTATTACTTTTTCTTTGTTCAGTAGAATTTACCATGTAGGGATCTCAGGGTTCTTTTGTTAATATTTAATGTATATTTTTCTTTTCACTTGTATCAGGTTTATACTTTTTTTTAACTGTGTGTTTATTTTTGTCAGTATTTGTAGGAATTTGTTTAGCTAAGTTAGTAATAAAATTAGTCTTAAAATTCCTTATTATGTCATTAATTTAAACAGAACCCTCATTTAATAGAACCATAATGATAATACAATGAGTGAGGTTCTAGCTTTTACACATCTAAGTTGTGTCTGATGTCCAACTGCACCATGTATAACCAATCCTCTGTGCATCATTAGGAATGATTCTGCGCAGAGCCACTGGGTGAGGGCTAAATATGAGGAAAAAAAGTAAAAAGCAAAAACCAAAAAAAAGAAAAGAAAAGAAAAAAGAAACCCCCTTAATAATAGACTCTTTAGTTGGTGCTTAATATTTTTTTTTTTCTTTTTGGGTCACACCCAGCAATGCTCAGGGATTACTCCTGCTCTGCACTCAGGAATTATTTCTGGTAGTGCTCTGGGGAGCTTGAGTCTGGCGCGTTAGACCACTCGGCCATCCTGACACCCAGGATGTCAGGATGGCCGAGTGGTCTAAGGCGCCAGTGGTCTAAGGCAAATGCCCTACCGCTGGAGCGATAGCACAGCGGTAGGGCATTTGCCTTGCACAGCCAGCCTGGCCGAGCCAGGTTCGATTCCTCTGCCCCTCTAGGAGAGCCTGGCAAGCTACCAAGAGTATTTATTCAATATGCCAAACACAGTAACAAGAAGTCTCACAATGGAGACGTTACTGGGCCCGCTTGAGCAAATCGATGAACAACGGGAGGACAGTGACAGTGACAGTGCTCCGGGGAACCATATAGGATGCTGGTAATCGAACCCTTGGCAGCTGCATGCAAGGAAAACGCCTACCCTCTGTACTCTCGCTCCGGCCCCCTGGTGATTAATTTCTTTTCTATTTATTAATCTAGTAGTTTCAACAACTTTATCGTTTTTTCAAGAACACACGTTTCTGTTGTGGTTGTTGTGTTGCTGTTTTTTTTTTTTTTGTGGGGGGGGGGGGCACTCCAGGTGATGCTCAAGGGTTCCTCCTGGCTCTGCACTCAGGAATTACTCCTAGTGGTGCTTTACCCTCTATACTATGACTCTAGCCCCCAAAAAGACCTTGTTTAAAGGCTTTTAAAAAATGTTTATTTATCTTTGGACTATCATTATTATTTTCTACATATGTATATATGATTGGACCCTACTATTGTTCCTTTGCATATTTTGAATTAGAAACTTGGAAAACTTTTTGATGACTTTTTTCTTAAGATAAGTATTTAATGATAAAATGCATTTAATGATAAAGTCTTCCTCCTCCCTATAATTTTGTTAATATTTTATTTTCTTCTTGAACTAAGAATAAGGTCACTGGAACTGTTCTACTTCATAAAGCAGTAGTGAGAATGTGATGAAATTCTGAGAGTGGAGTGAGCTTATTATTTCTACACTCATATTTTCTCCTTTCTCCCTAGAATGTGAATGATGTCCTCGAAAGGTATGTATGGAAGATCAGAAATGGTCCTTTTGTGCAGTGAAAAGAAATTTAATATCATTACAGTCATGAGTTGATGAATAAAAATAAAACATAATTCTCTATAGTTTTATATCAGATTTCTATTCCCGAATCTTGGCTGTATGATCTCTAAGTATTGAGAATGTATTTGTCTGGTAAAGAATTTGAGTGAGAGGATGTTACAGAGTTCAGATGAGTGACACTTTTAGAGATGTGACCTCAGAGTGTTTGTCATGACTTAATTTTACCTTGTTTCTGTATCTAACTCAGATATTTTCATGTAGGTTAGGAAAATGTTTGCTTTATTTGATAATATCCAAAATTGGAGATTTTGGATATTTTGCAAAAACTGCTCCTTTTTAAAAAAAAATAAATGTTATCCCTTTATTTGTTGATGCCATTATAAAAACTAATTATATTAGCATCAAACAAGGTGTTTTTCCTGAGTTAAAGTCAGAGGCAGTTACTCCTCAGTGTGTTAAAACAGTATTAAAGTGTTATTAAATTTTCCATTGTCTTTACCAGTTTTGATCTTCTAAACAATTTTATTGAGCAAAATAAAAGAAAAGATCATGTTTTTATTTTCAGGAATGTAAAAGTCTAATTTCAAACAGTTTTTATTATAAAACTAAACTCTCAAGGTGTCTACAGAGTTGACTTTTCTCTCATTAAATCAGTAGGCTAAGAACCATTGTAGCACTGTAGCACTGTTCTCCTGTTGTTCATTGATTTGCTCGAGTGGGCACCAGTAACATCTGACAACAAACTGTGAGACTTGTTACTGTTTTTGGCATATCGAATACATCATGGGTAGCCTGCCAGGCTTTCTCGTGCGGGCAAGATACTCTCAGTAGCTTGCTGGGCTCTCCGAGAGGGGCAGAGGAATCCAACCCAGTGGGCCGCATGCAAAACAAACTCCCTACCCGCTTTGCTATTGCTCCAGCCCTAACACAGATTAAAAAAGGCAAAACTTCAGTGTTTCTGTCAAAGTAGAAAGAGTGAAAACATAAATAAGACTGAAATTTTGCAGAATATAATACAGTACCTTCTGTTATCTTTGAATAGGTTGCCAGTCACTTCACTTTGAACGCTGCATTGTTTCCTTTGAGAGTTGTTGGTTTACTTCTTGAAGCAGCTGCTGCAACTGTGTAAAGTTTGATTTAGATGTATGGGCATTGTCTCCTCCTCATTCCCATGCCCATCACTATTGTCAGTAACAGTAGTGTCAAAGTGTAGCTTTGACAATTTTTGACTGGATAAAATCCAGGGACTTGTGAGCCTTATGCAAGTCATTGGCTACCTCCTTCAATTTGTTCAGTTCTACGTGTTGTGATTGCTGCATTTTCCTGCCTCTTTTTTTTTTTTGGATTTTTTTTTGGGGGGGGTGGGTCACACTCAGTAATGCTCAGGGGCTACTCCTGGCTCTATACTCAGAAATCACTCCTGGCAGTGCTTAGCGGATTATATGGGATGCTCGTGATTGAACCCAGATGGAGCATGTGCAAGACAAATGCCCTACTTTCTGTACTATAGCTCTGGAGGCCCCAATTAACTGCCTCTTTAACTCTTTGATATCTGTAACTTAAGTAGATCATTCAGTTTCTGTCTTTTCTAGTTCCATTTCCACCTGCTTTCATTCTCTTATAATTTGCTTTGCTTTAGTTTACTGGGGATCACACTGAGTGGTACCCTGGACTCCCTGTGCTCTGGACTGACCCTTTGCAGTCCTCAGTACCAATGCGGCAGTTTGGATTGAAGTCAGTGTGGCATCAAGAAGGCAAGCACTTTACCCCCCAGGATTTCCTCTCCCATAATTTTGGGGGTGGGGAGTGGGTGAAGGGTCTGGACACATCGCAGAACTTAGAGCTTAATTCTGGCTCTGAGCTCAGAGATCACTCCTAGCAGGTTCAGGGAATCATTGGGGTGCCAGAATCAAACCTGAGGCTGCTACATTCAAGGCAAACATTATACTATCACTCTGCTTCCCTCCCCTTCCCCCACTATTGTTTGGATCAAACTCTAGTATTTTCATTTCTTCCCTGAGAATGGAACAGACTAAGTTTTCCTCTAAGTTTCTTCTTAGCAAGAAATGTATCATCTCTGCTCCAAAGAAGTATCCATCATGGTCACGTACTTTATCTATGACTGTATCACTGTCATCCCATTGTTCATCAATTTACTTGAGTGAGCGCCAGTAACGTCTCCATTTGTCCCAGCCTTGAGATTTTATCAGCCTCTCCTTACTCGTCTTTTCCAACTATTGGGGGCTCTTTCAGGGTCAGTGGAATGAGAGCTCTTATTATTACCATATTTGGCATATTGAATACGCCACGGTGAGCTTGCCAGGCTCTGCCATGTTGGCAGGATACTCTTGGTAGCTTGCCGGGCTCTCCGAGATCTATCTATCATCTATCTATCATCTATCTATCTATCTATCTATCTATCTATCTATCTATCTATCTTTCCCTTTATGATGATGTGTCCAGTTCAGTCATGCATGAGGTTTGGCCCAAGTGTGTGGAAAGCAGCCTGGAGTGTGGCAGTGGTTGGGTAGTGGAGGTCGACTGATATACAAATACTTTATGTATATCTATGTAAATAGCATAGGTCTTTCCAGATTGCTCAGCTACATGAGCTTATAATACGATTATACTTTAAGTATCTATAGTTTTTTTCAGAAAAGGTAAAGCTTTAAGTTGTTCTTCTGAGAGTTTCCCTCCTAGGGAATCAATTTTGAAGATATTTATCCTTTCTAACCTGTATCCTCGCACTTTGTGTGCTGCAGACCAGGAGCCAGGTTCAATCACCTCACTTTCTGTTACTACTCTGAATGCCACATCCAGCAAAGATTTTCCACACAATTTTTGTTTTGTTTTGCTAGATTCATTACTTCACATGATTCTAGAAAACAGAGAAGAAATTAATATGTTCTGGAAGGGGAAAAATGCTTCTGAGAGGTCTTTAAAGGTTGATTCAGGGGGCAACTGGGGAAATTAGGTAGAAGTGATCCTAGCTTTTCTATCTTCGGGGTCTGGACTCTGTTAACTGCCATGGTCTCCAGGAGTAGAGTTTAAGTGCATCACTGGGGTGAAGAGATCAAGTCAATGTTTTTGAAGGGACAGTATATCAAATCTGATCAGTTTTTGTCACCCTTAGGAGTGAGGACTTGACTCTGACGAAGCCAGAAACTTTTTCCCTGGAATATCTCGATGTATTTCAAACCACTGATCTAATTAAGAAACTGGAAGCATTTGATGGTAAGGAGTAGTAGATTTAAGTTGATGAATGTGGGATTTGTGATGTTATGTTGCTAAATGGGGAAGAGGATTCAATTTCCAATTGAGAACAGAGGACACAATAATAGGATGAACACTAGTCATCAAGGAGATGCAAATCAAAATAACAATGAGAGATCTTACACCTCAGAGACTGGCACAGATAAAAAAGTATAACAACCAGTGTTGTTGTGGGTGCTGGAGTAAAGAGACTCTCATTCATTGTTGGTGGGAATGTCAACTGGTTCAGCCTTTCTGGAAAACAATAAGGGAATTTTTTTCTAGTTTCCTTAAGAAACTATAAATTGAACTTCCATATGATTCAGCAATACCACTTCTAGGAATATATTCTGGAGGCCCAGAAATACACTGCAAAAGTGCCATCTGCACTCTATGTTTATTGCAGCACTACTCACAATAGCCAGAATCTGGAATCAACACAAATGCCCAATAACAGACTATTGTATAAAGAAACTATGATATGGGCTGAAGTGATAGCACAGTGAGTAGGGTGTTTGCCTTGCACGCACCAACCTGGGTTCAATTCCCAGCATTCCACATTATCCCCCGAGCACTGGCAAGAGGAATTCCTGAGTGTATGAGCCAGGAGTAACCCCTGTGCAACGCTGGGTGTGACCCAAAGAGAATAAAAGAAACTGATACATCTACACAATGGAATACTACACAGCCACTAGGAAAAATGAAGTCATTCTTTAAGAAATGAAGAAATTTGTTTATACATGAATGGACATGAAGAGTATTAAGTTGAGTGAAATGAATCAGAAGGAGAGACACACACATGGAATGGTTTCATTTATTTGTAGGATATAAAAAACACAGTATGAGACTCTAAACCAAAGACAATAGCAATGGGATTGGTCCATGGTTGAGAGCTTGTAGGAAATGGGTGGAAGCGGGAGAGGGCAGTTAAGATAGAGAAGGCAGCACTGTGACAATAACAGTTGGAAATAATCACTCTGGGTAAGAATTGAGTGTGGAAAGTATTAAATGATTTATTTATGTCATAATCCTGTATCACAGATTTATCATATAAATCACAGGATGTGTGTACCTCTAGCACAAACCATAATGCCCAAAATGAGTGATAGACTGAGAGAAAGACACAGAGAGAGACACTGAGAGAGACACACAGAGAGACACACTGAGAGAGGGAGTCTGCTAAATGGGGAAGAGGATTCATTTCTCTCTCTCATGTTTAACAGGATTCATCTCTCTCATGTTTAAGACTCATATTTCCCCTTCAAAGTGCATATATTATTATTCCTCTTAGAATATTAAATGAGATTACATGAGAGAGAGAGACTGAGAGAGAGTAGGGCTGGAGACTGAAGTGACAATGTGTCTACCCTAGAGGTTGACCGGGAATGGGGGCAGGAGGGGAATTGGAACATTGGTTTTGGAAAATTTACACTAGTGAAGTGACAGGTGATAGAGCATTGTATGACTGAAACCTAACTTGAACAGTGTTGAGATATACAGTTTATCTCACTATGATTTAATAAAAAAAAAAAAAGGAAGAGAAGATGAAGGCCATTTCCTGCTAGATATAGCCTTATTTGATAAGATGTGGTCAGGAGTTGGATTCTGTTTTCATTTACCAGTTCAGTACCTCACTATAATCCAAAGTATGCAGAGGAAATAAATTTTAATTCTGACTCCTTTTCTTATATTTAACACTATTTATTTTTCCATTTCAGAACTGAAAAGTGTGCAATACTACTGGGGTAAGGAAAAATCACATTATTATCGAATTCTATTTGCACTAAGAATTTTTTATTTTTTTTAGATCTCATGTTTAAGACTCATATTTCCCATTAAAATGCATATATTATTGTTTTTGCATTGTTCTCCTAAGAACAAAGTAAAATTAGCCCTCGTTCCCACTTAAATAATACTCAAGATCCCTCTTAGAATATTACATGAAAGCATTTTCCTCACCGAATCTTCTTTTTTTTACAGTTCAGATGACTCTGAAAGTTCCTGACAATAACCCAGCTATTACTGTTTCTTTAGATGGAAGACAAGTGAGATGTGCAGGCAATAGGAGTTCACAGCAGCGTTCTTCAACAGGGATTTGTGATAATTATGTTCTTGGCTCTAAAGCTATCAAATCAGGAAAGCGTTACTGGGAGGTAGATGTGTCTGACAAACAGGAATGGATGGTGGGGGTATGTCACATTACATCAATTAGATCCTCTAAATTCAACCAACAAAATAATTATAAATTTAATTTGTCTTTTAATGAGTCCCCACCATCCCAATGGTGTCCAGACCCCCTCCCTGTACCCATTAAACAGCAATCTTTATTTCACCCTCAATTTTGCTACTGGGTAATAGGGTTACAAAATAATTCTCAGAATAAAGTTTTTGTGGATACTTCTGACTATAATTCTAGGCCCTTGACTCTTTCCATGACAGTTCCTCCCTGTCGTATTGGGGTTTTTGTTGACTATGAGGAAGAGACAGTCTCATTTTACGATATCACAAACCATGGATTTCTCATGTATGAATTTTCTTCGTGTTCCTTTACTGACAAAATATTTCCATATTTCAATCTTATGAACTGTTCTGGCCCAATAACTTTGTGTACACCAAGTTTGATGTAGCACACATTCCCACATTTTCATTGTAGGGTTATTTGCATTTTTTGGGGGGAGGGAGAGGAACTGGCGCAGTAATGCTCAGGGGCTAGTCCTACTCTGCACTCACAAATTACTCCTGTCCTATGTCAGGGGACCATCAGGTCAGCCATGTGCAAGGCAAGCACCCTAACTGCTGTACTACGTCTCTGGTTCCAATACTGCTTGATTTGGGTGCCTCCAATTCATTGAACTTAACCGTACTATCCTTTCATGTTTTCTATCATGTAATTTTTTTTTCATTAGAACATCTGTCATTCATTAATAGAGTGTTTACTTTTCCATGTACTGGTTTTACTATGCTTACATTAGGAGAAATCTTTGTTCATCATTTTCACTGCTTGCAAAATAAAATGAGACCTCACAACCACCCTCTTGCTCCAACATATAAAAAAAAACCCACTACTAAGATATGGAAGAAATAGCACTGCCAAAAGCTTGCAATTTTTGTTTTCTCTGCCATTGACAAAACATGCAGTGATACTGGGATACTTTTAACACTTTTGTTTATTATTTTATGTATGGGAGTCAAATCTTTCACTGATGAACGAATGAGTCCTTAGGGGTATATTACTTACCCAGAAAGACCATCATATATAAGTTTTAGAAAAACTATATTAAGTATTATTTACTAGATGGAAGTCTTTTATGTCTAGTGTGTCTGAACTCAAATATCCTCTTTCCACATACTAACAGTGTATTCTTGAATTATTTCTGCTTTGGGCTGGAGCGATAGCACAGCGGGTAGGGCGTTCGCCTTACAAGCGGCCAACATGGCCGACCCGAGTTTGATTCCTCTGCCCCTCTCGGAGAGCCCGGCAAGCTACCGAGAGTATTCGGTATGCCAGACACAGTAACAACAAAAGTCTCCAATGGAGACGTTACTGGGCCCGCTCGAGCAGGTATTACAGGCTTAATTCAGTTTTATTGAAATTTAATTTTAACTGAGCTTTGTCCAGATTACTATTTCAGTCATATATTAAGAATTTAGAATTAATATTGTGTGACTTATAGACCATGGTGTAGCAAAATGTATGTTTCTTTTTTCTTCATTGGCCTGAATCAACTTTACTTTGTAATGTAATGGTCAACTTTACTTTGTACTGTAATGAAGTGACCCAAAGTTAACAGAAAAGCAGGTGGCTGCTAACAGCTGGGAAGCAGAAAGCGATGCTCTAAGGATGCAGGGACGAGATGCTGAGAGAAAACCTGAGTCTAGAAAATGTCACTATCACATATTGCTCTTTTCAGCTGCCAAGTAGAAAATTCTTTATCTATTAAAGGCTAACTGCAAGCATTTGGCTTCTGTACTGTCATTGCGCTTGCTTGCTTTAGTTAATGACAAATTTGATTGATGTTACCAGGCATAATGTAATAAGAAATGTTTAAAACTTTGCTTGGACTTAGGTTTTGGCGGTTCATTGCACTGAGACCCTTATTCTCGGGCTTGGCAGCCTCTATAGGTTAATAAATGTTCTTCAATTGGGCAAACAAGTGCACTTGAGACTTCTTCGGTAAGCTCTCATCCCACAGAAGTACTAATGCCAATGTTTTCAGAAGCGAAAACAACAACAAAAATCCTTATTATTCTTTAGTGAGAAAGGGGTGGGGGATACATCTGCATTGAACTTGTTTAGATTCTTTTGGTATTGTTACTGCCAAATCTTCCTAAACCTAATTCAATCTAGTTGAAAACAGTGGAGCCAGAAAGATAGCTCAAGCAGTAGAGCACCTGGCTAGACTGTGTGAGGCCGTGTGTTGGATTTCTGCCTCCCATGCCCCAATGGCATACTTCCAAGACTGGCACTGGTACCCTTGGTCACCATGGGTTTGATCCTTATATAAAGTAAAAGTTTTTTGAGGCTTTTATTTAAAGAACTAAAAGGGGTTGGATAAATAGTAGAGAGGGTAAGATGTTTGCAGCAATCCCCCCAGGTTGAATCCCAGCACCACATTTGGTCTCCAGATTCTGCCAGGATTGAGCCAGAAGTAAGCTCTGAGCATGGCCCGCTGTGACCCAGACACTGAAAAAGGGGGGCACAGGGGTGAGCTTTTTTTTTAAATTTTTTAAATTTTTTAATATATTTTTTTATTAGTGAAACACCATGAGGTACAGTTATAGACTTATAAATTTTTGTGCTTGGGTTTCAGTTATACAATGATCAAGGGTGAGAAAAAAGGGGTGAGAAAAAAAGGAGTGAGCTTTTTGGTCTGTTTTCATTCATGTTTATTTGTAGAAATTTATAACTTCCCCGTCTTAGATTTTTTAACATAACAAATTCTATATTAGATGGTTTGTGCATGTACATACTCATATTTATGTCTAATCCCTTACAACGGACACTTTGAGAAATTGACCTAAACTTCACATTGAACTGTGTTACCCTGTCACCTAATTGCTGTAATCTCTACGGTTCTTACTCATTGCGAGTATCTGTACTGAATTTTTTTTTTTTTTTTTTTTTTTTTGCTTTTGGATCACATTCAGTGATGCTCATGGCTTACTCCTGGCTCTGCATTCAGAAATTACTTCTGGTGGTGCTATGGGGACCATCTGGGATGACGTGGTTTAAACCTGGGACGGATGTGTGCAAGGCAAACGCCCTACCCATTGTACTATCACTCTGGCCCTTGTACTGAATTATTAACCAAATATTCTTCAGGGATATTCACCTTTACACATCCTAGGATGACCATTTTTCCAGTTCAGGACGAAGTACCTAGCTACAAAGAAGTAAGTACCTGAATTTACATGAACTCTAGAAAGATGCTCATACTAAGGGGCTCCCAGTATTCAGAGTGCTCTGGCTTAGATGAACTCTGCTCCAATGCATATGAGTCTTACGTTTCTCTCAGTTCCTCTTTCTCATCTCTGAGCTTCGAGTAACAATCATGCCATTTGTCTTTCTGGGGCAGATGTATATCCACAGGGAAATATTTAGACTCAGAAGTCTATCAGAGCATGAAAGATGCACAACCCTGGATGAACATTTCTTTACGACGTGTACATGCCTAGATCTTGCCCCAGGTCATGATCAGTTTTGTTTGTGATTTGCCATCTTCAGTGGAACAACCACATGGCCCACACTCACTAATGAGATTCCACGGACATTCCTTTTTCTCTCACTGAAAATACTGTCAAATCTTTCTCTCCCTGCTGTTCTTTCCATGTTTCCCAAAAGTAGGATATTCTTAATTTCAGAACCATAACTACTACTCCCTTTTGTGGTGCTACCCTTCATATCAGATAACTCATTTCCTCTGTAGAAAAGAGAAACAATTTTTCCCCTCAGAATTGCTTTGTCACTAAGCCTGCAGATATCAGAAGCAGAACATTTTTTTACGGGTCTCTAAGAATGCTCAGGGTCCCAGTGAACCCTCTTATAGTATGGTACTAAGGTCTGTCTTCTGCCTGGTGAGATGGTGTTGTTTGGTTCCAGTAGTGCCTGGTACCACTAATTGAACCTGGCTGTGTCCCAGTGGCATGTAATGCTTAGATCAAACACAAGACTTTCTATTCAAGGCTTATATACTCCCCTGCCTCTTTGAGCTTTTTCTTCTGGTCTGTAACAGGAGAGTCTTAGTAACTTTTTATTTTATTTATTTATTTTTTAAATTTATTTATTTATTTATTGAATCACCATGGGAAAGTTTACAAAGCTTTCAGGTTTAGGTCTCAGTCATGCAAATATCAAGCACATTTCCCTTTACCAAAACTTATTTTTTACCATGAAGAACCCCAATAAAACCCCACCCCCCACCCCTCCCAGTCCCTGTGGGGCAGATGAATTCTAGTTAACACTCTATCTGCTTTGATTGGATTCATTGTTTCAATAAAAGATTCACCACTATTATTTAGAGTTTATCCCCCCACCCCCAAATCAGACATGCTGACAAAGCATTGTGAAGTGATTTGCTTCCTATAGCTGGGTTCAAGAATTATATGTTGGTTTTGGATTTCTGCTATTTTACTTATTGACCCTGGAAGTATTTCTACTGAAAGTCAGATAGTTAAGAAATTGGTTTCTGTGCTCTGGAGTCGTGGCCGTGCTGGAGAGCCGCTAGTGGGGGGCAACTGGTGGCCTCGGTAGGGCGTGAAGGGCGGACCGAAACGCCCCCCTTCCAATGAGGTTTTAGTCGCCCCCAGTCCCCCGGCTCATACCTGCTGTCCACAAGGCTCCCATGTGGCCGCCATCTTTCTTTCCAGAGAGGAGAGGGCGAATGGGGCAACACCCTTTCCCCTCTGGACAGACCTGATGGCCTGGATTAACACATAGTCCGTTCACTTTTCTGCTCCAAGCTGCCGGGTTCTGCATTAAGTCCTTGTGCTGCTGGGGCCGTGGCCGTGCTGGAGAGCCGCTAGTGGGGGGCAACTGGTGGCCTCGGTAGGGCGTGAAGGACGGACCGGAACGCCCCCCTTCCCATGAGGTTTTAGTCGCCCCCACTCCCCCGGCTCATACCTGCTGTCCACAAGGCTCCCATGCAGCCGCCATCCTTCTTTCCAGAGAAGAGAGGGCGAATGGGGCAACACCCTTTATCCTCCGGCAGACTTGATGGCCTGGATTAACGCATGGTCTGTTCACTTTTCTGCTCCAAGCTGCCGGGTTCTGCATTAAGTCCTTGTGCTTCTGGGGCCATGGCCGTGCTGGAGAGCCGCTCGTGGAGGGCAACTGGTGACCTCGGTAGGGCGTGAAGGATGGACCGGAACGCCCCCCTTCCCATGAGGTTTTAGTCGCCCCCACACCCCCGGCTCATATCTGCTGTCCACAAGGCTCCCATGTGGCCGCCATCTTTCTTTCCAGAGAGGAGAGGGCGAATGGGGCAACACCCTTTCCCCTCCGGACAGTCATGATGGCCTGGATTAACGCATAGCCCGTTCACTTTTCTGCTCCAAGCTGCTGGGTTATGCATTAAGTCCTTGTGTTTCTGGGGCTGTGGCCGTGCTCCAAACTTAACTATGATTTTCAGAGAGAAACGTTGGGTGGTTTACTTCCCATGGATTACTTTGTATATAGAGAGATGTCGCGGTTTTGAGGAAAAGTCCTAGTTCCCGCATACTCGAGCTGTGTTTGTAGAGGCTTCTGGTCACCAGGGTTCCATCTGGGGGAGGCGGGATGCGGTACCTACCCCATCTGGGGCTTCCCGATGATCTCGGCTCTTTTTGGAACCTGTTTTTTTTTTTTTTCTTCGGGATCTGTGGATCCCGCCCTCCATGTTGTCCTTCTCTTCGGCTCCTTAGTAACTTTTTAAAACTTCTTCTTTGGCCCATCAGTGCTCAGACTTATGCCTGGCTTTGCACTTAGGGTCATACCTGGTGCACTTCAAGGCAATGTATGGGGTGCCATAGATGGAATGCAGGTCAGCCTCTTTCAAGGCAAGTGCCCTACTGGCTGTGCTATCTCCCAGACCCCCAAATAAGGCTTTTCTCTTTTTGTTCTAGGGTTTGTATTCTGGTCTCAGGCACGCAAGGCTCATGCTTTACCACTGAGCCATGTCTCCAGTCACTCTAGCTAAACATTCTTTTTTAAAATTTTTTTAGTTATATCCTAAATATGTTTATTTTATTTTATTATTTTATTTTTTTAAATTTTTATTAGTGAAACACAATGAGGTACAGTTGTAGACTTACAAATTTTTGTGCTTAGATTTCAATTATACAATGAACAAATACCCATCCCTCCACCAGTGCCCATTTTCCACCACCATGGATCCCAGTATCCCTCCCACCCGCCATCCCTCCCATCCCACTCTGCCTCTGTGACAGGGCATTTCCTTTTGTTCTCTCTCTCTCTCTCTCTCTCTCTCTCTCTCTCCTTTTGGGTGTTGTGGTTTGCAAAAGAGGCATTGAGTGGCAATCATGTTTGGTCTATACTCTATATTTGGTGCTCCCTTCTCTATCTGAGCTCCCTTTCCCCCTACCATGTGTGGCTGGCCTCCAAGCCATGGAGCAAACCTCCTGGTACTAATCTCAGCCACTCTTGGATGTTAGTCTCCTATTTTGTTACTTTATGTTCCCCAGATGAATGCAATCTTTCTATGTCTATCCCTCTCTTTCTGACTCATTTAGCTTAACATGATACTTTTCATGTAGTACCACTTGTATGTAAATTTCATGACTTCATCTTTTCTAACAGCTTCATAGTACTCCATTGTGTAGATGTACCAAAGTTTCTTTAACCTGTCATTTGTTCTTGGGCACTCAGGTTTTTTCCAGATTCTGGCTATTGTAAAGAGTGCTGCAATGAACAAACAAGTGCAAATGTCAGTCCGATTATACTTTTTTGCCTTGCTGGGATATATTCCCAGGAGTGGTATTGCTGGGTCAAATGGGAGCTCTCCATATCTAAGTTTTTAAAAATCGTCCATACTGTTTTCCAAAAAAGCTGAACCAGTCGGCAATCCCACCAGCAGTGAAGGAGGGTTCCTTTCTTGCCACATCCGTACCAGCACAGGTTGCTTTTGGTCTTTTGGATGTGGGCCAG